CAATCCCCAGTCCCAAATTTTCCCCAAACCATGTACTGTGCAATGTTTATCCCTCTCCTGAACCATGCAGAAAGATATTAAGGTTTGTTTGTTCCTTTGAAGATACAATACTCACTAGCTTGCCACATTAACTGGAGTTAACATTCACTTTAAATCAAACACAGCACTGGGTTTGTTTAGATTAACAGTAAAACAAATTTATTAACAAAAGAAGATTATCCTTTACACTCAGTTAAAATATTAAGTTAGAAATGGTTACAAGCAAATAAAAGTGACAAATACTTTCTAGAGGCTAAGACTTAACAAAACTAGGTACAGCCTTCATTCAAGGTAGTTTCCTTACCAATCTACCTTCCAGTTAGAGGGCTGACCACCCCTTTGCTCAGAATCTCCCACAAAGTCCAAAGTGTTCGGTTCCTTTGTCATCTTTAACAGATAACCTGAGGTTCTGTGCACCTTTGAAATGGATTCTTCCAAAGATTAACCCCTAAAGTAAAGTTCATTCAAACTTTGAGGAAGACAACATGGAGTTTGGTGATGAAGGAAGTTCCATGTTGGTTTATTCCCCTGCAGGTGTTTGCTAAAATGCAAATTGATCTGTTCTCTGAAAACTCAACCTTTGAGCATCACAGCAGAGGGAAGTCTCCTCACCCTATCAGCTTTATGGTCCTGTTTACTGTTAGGGGGCTTATTCCTTCACCCACTTACTTCCCTGGTCCTTCTCGCATGAACAGAGAGCAACAATACCCGAAGTCCAAAGGTGCAAACAATTCGATGTTGATTGGGGTGAACTTCCAGCAAGCATGATTCCAGTTTCCTTCCTTAGTATCCTCCTTCCCAGCTCTGACACCACAGAGCCTTACACGTGTGTCCCTGTTCCCATTCCTACCCTTAGCCAAACATGATTCCAACTTCCTTACTCCCATTCCCTGTTCCCATTTCCCCCTTTAGCAAAACATGATTCCAATTTTCTTACCCCCATTCCCTGTTCCCATCTCACACACCCACCCCCACCCACACCCCGTCACTTCTTCATTGACTACAGATTATATAGTAAAACTTGAGTTCTGCTTAGCTATACCTTAACCAATCATTTTCCTGAAATTTAACTAACCAATCCTAACATATTGTAACATGATTATGTAACCAATTATATCCCACCACCTCAATTAGTTTAATTATACAGCAGACAGGAACAATCACAGAACCAGACAGAGATTATACAGACAAACAACAGCAAAGTGGGAACTATAATGACAAAACAATACAGAAGTGAGGATTTCACATCCCAGCTATTGATAAGTGAGTTCTTGCCAGACAGGATGCTATCAAACTAAGTTTCCTTTTACATTTTCTAGGCACTTCCCTTCCTCTGGAGGTGATAGGAATACAATCCTGTCCTGATAGTGCCTAACAGCCCAATAGCACCTTATTTCAATGTGACTAGTTTGGAATGTGAGGATGTGACCGTTCGCTTCCCAGCTTATGGCTGCCTCTGCTGCTTAGCCAAAGGCCTGAGCCTAAGCACAGGGCCACAAACTGTCACAGTAAGAGAAGGCCCTTACACTGGCAGACAGTGGTTTTGATTCTTTCTTTCTTTTATACCTCTATCACTAGCCAAGTGATAAGAATACACCTAAATTCTTAGAGTATAGGCCTTTACAGACAGGCCTGAATATCTATATCCTAACATTTACCTTCTATGTAAATTGCATACCAGTCTGTTGATGTACCTTGGAAATACCTTCAAGGTGGCAGAACCACATTTCTTTGTCTAGAATGTGGTAACTTTAGCCCTTCCTGGCAGGCACAGTTTGATAACATAATTTTGCATGTTTGTAATTATCCTCCATACATATACCACACAATAATATTAATGATCAGTATTAGCTTGCTGTTGCATTGTGATGCTGTTAGGGTAACAGAGGTATCCAGAACTTCTTGATGAGTGGATGTATTAAACTCTGAGAATGCAGATGGGCTATTGGTGGATGGGTGCATGCCGAGAGGACCTATCTCTGTTTGACAAGGCTTTCTGAACGTGCGTGATCTTTTCAGCAAAGTAGGATGATAGTTCTTTGCAGTGCTTGGTGCTAAGCTCTGATGCAGAGTGTAGGCACTCGGGACTAATGAAGCAATTTACCACTGTGGATAGCTCCTTGTGGCAGGATTTGGCAGCCTCAGTAGAGACCAATAGGAAAATTCTCTTGGCCAGTAATACAGGCTTAGCATAGGCTTTGAAAAATTTGTTGTTTCATATTGTCTGAATCAGCCTTTGTTTTCAGCCACCAGTGCTTCAGTTTCTGCCCCTCTCTCTTCACCCACACAGAATATCTGAAAACCAAGGGGAACCTGTGTGAATGATGGCGAAGAGGGGGCCATTTGTAGGGCCAGTGTGTCAATGGCTGAGAGCACTGTAGAATGGTAATGTTTCACCAAGTCTTTGACTCATTGTCCTTTGGCAGGTTTTGGAATTTGTTGGAGTCCTTAAGGTTAAATCAGGATCGTTGGTCTTTCTTGGTGCTAGATGGTCTCTTCCCACTCCCTTAATGGGGTGATGGTGTGGCCAAGACACTGGCTGGGTTGTAATGTCTTCTATCATGATATCTAGGCTGGAGATCATGTCCAGGGTTTGACCAGCTGTGTGCGTTGGACTAGAGATGACCTGTGAAAGTCCTAGTGGGACAAGTGAGATGAATGTTGAGGATTTTGCATCTGCAACCTTGTCAGTGTGAGCACTGAAATCTCCCAGGATGACAAATGTGAGGTATTTCACCATCACTTGACAAGCTGCCAGTGAACTTTTTTATGGATCTTTTTCTCTGCGGTGGTCTGTAAATAAGCATAAAATCTATGTTGGCTTTGGCTCTGGTTTCTATTGTCAGATGAATGAATTAAAATTAAGTTGTTTTATGTCACCTGAAGCACCTCTCTTGCTTTTGATATTTGCAGAGATGATGAATGCAGTTCTCACCTGCTTTCTTATCCTATCTAGATCTGTGGTGTACTCAATATCCTGGGGGCGAGGGGTGAGGTGGGCTAGCACAGGGCCTGCAGTGTCATCAAGACAGGTCTCATTGATTAACATTATATCGGGTACTTCATCTCTGATTAAGTCATGTATTGTTGGCAGTGGCAGATCTTGTGTTGATCAGCATCAGCTTTAGTTATGCAGAGCTGTCCCCCATCATGTGTCAGCAGTGTCTGAATACTGAACCTTCAGTAGTACAGTACAGCGTTCCACCACTTGATCCACTGGCTAACTGTTACATGGGAGTGTAACAGAGGAGTGGTAAACACCCATTTTTTCATGGTTTGTATGTATAAGAACATCTTCTGTATTTTCCACAGTATGCATCCGATGAAGTGAGCTGTAGCTCACGAAAGCTTATGTTCAGATAAATTGGTTAGTCTCTAAGATGCCACAAGTACTCCTTTTCTTTTAAACAGAGGAGACGTTTTGCTACATGAACCTGCCCCACTAGAGGAGGTTGAATAACACTTTGAAATAGTGGGTGACTTATGCATGAATAGAGTTGTTTAACAAATGTTTTTCCCCCCCTCCCATGGAAAATTTTGACTTTTTGGCAAAAAATAGAAAACCAAAAGATTTAAATTCAGAAATGCCACCACACTGCCTTATGGGAGTGTTAGTCCATGTACCCCATGTTCCCAGTCTCCTCTATAAGCTGTGCTTTTCATCAGACTACAACTTCCATTATGCACCATGGTCTCCTCTTTTGGGGTTCTTGTCCAGTTCTTTCTTCATGTGATATCCCAAGAAGGAAATGGGCAGGGTTTTTCTCTCCCTGTCATACTACCACAGCTAAACTGGCAGCAGCTGAGAGGACCCTCTGCTCCCAGGAGTTCCCAGTTCAATTTGTGACTCATACCATAGGTGCTGGAGCACCGATGGGGAAAAATTAGTGGGTGCTCTGCACCCACCGGCAAGCAAGCTCCCCACCTCACCTCCTCCTTTGCCTCCTCCCCGAGCGCGCCACGTCCCTGCTCCTCTGCCAGCTCCCAGCTTGCTGCTGCCAAACAGCTGTCGCAAGCTCCTGGAGGGAAAGGGGAGGAGTGGGAACATAGCACCCTCAGGGGAAGAGGTGGGGCCGGGGCGGGGATTTGGGGAAGGAGTCAGAATAGGGCAGAGAGGGGGCGGAGTTGGAGCGGGGACTTTGGGGAAGGGTTTGGAATGGGGGTGGGAGAGGTGGAGTTAGGGCAGGGCTGGGAGCAGAGGGTGGTGGAGCCCACACCGGTGCCAGTAGCAGTCGGCGCCTATGCCTCATGCAGTGTTTGAGCTGTGTATGTGTAATACTGAACTGAGGGCATTCACACAGCTCAGGGTTTGGGGCATACTACTAAATCAAGCCCTACTACACAAACCACATAGAGAAAAAGGGTAATTTTCAACAGTTTATAACTAGGCCAACTCTCATCTCACTAGCAAAAGGCACCTCTCTGACCTCAGGGCAGTTCCCCTGCCAAAATCCAAGTCCAGCTGTAAGCAATGAAGGTGTTAGAGGTTCTCAAAACAAAACAAAAAAGGTTGCAGGCATATATATTGGAGGGTGTTAGGAAACATGAATATGAGAGCACTGCTTAGAACCTCTTCTAATATGAAGGAGGGAGTGGTGAAGAGAGGGAAACACTGGGGTCCAGCAGCCAGAGTACCAGGCTCGCTGGTGAGAGAGCTGGGTTCTGTTCCTGGCTGTGAGCCCATGGGCCAGGCGGGGCGAGTAGCTTCCCCGCAGCAGCCTGGGCTTCTTTCCTCTGCCTTGTTTGTAAGGTCCCTTGGGCAGGATCTGCCTCTTCGTACCGTGTGTACAGTGCCCAGCGCAAAGGGCCCCGGCCCCCGCTGGGGACGCGAGGCGTCGCTCCCGGGACCCTGGGCAAGGCTTGGCGGCACTAACGAAGCCAGCAAGGAAGGGAGGGCGCTGGGGACCCGTGGCCTGGGCGGCACCTGCCCGCCCTCTCACCGTCCCGCCCCTTCTGTCCTTCGCCGGGCCTGCCGGGGGGGAGGCTGCGCCTGCGCGCTCGCTGGAGGGGCTGCTGCTCCTCCTCCTCCTGGTCCTGCTCCGTGCCCGGCGCTCGGACCCGCCTGGCTGCGGGTGAGGGGCCGGCGGCGGGGCAGAGCGATGAGCTCCCGAAAAGGTACCGTCCTGGCCGGCGGCGGGAGCCCGGCAGCGGCAGCGGCTCCTCGGGGGTGGGGGCTGGGGAAAGTACCGCGCGCGCCCACTAACCTGTGCCCGTTTCTCCCCAGTGCTGGCCCTGCAGGCCCGGAGGCGGCGGCCCAAGCAGCCCGCGGCGGCCGGCAGGAGGGACAAGCACAAAAAGTGAGTGCGGAGCCTCGGCTCCCCCATAATCTGCCGGGCCCCCCATTCCTCTACATTCCGCCGGGACCCCCCGCGGGACTCCCTCTGTCCCACCGGGTTGGGACATCTGGACTCTATATATCCTTTGGGTACAGCCCCCTCACGGAACCCCCCCTACTTCTCTGGCACCGCCTCCCCCCGGGACTCCACATATTCCGCCAGCATGGGGCTCCCTCAGGACCCGTTGACATTCCTTTGGGACAGCCTGCCCCCCACGAGACCCCTCATATCCCACTGGCATTGGGTCCCCCAGGAACCCTCGACATCCCTCTGGGATAGCCTGCCCCCCGCGAGACCCCTTATATCCTGCTCTCATCGGGTCCCCCAGGAACCCTCGACATCCCTCTGGGACAGCCTTCCCCCCACAGGACCCTCATCCCGCTGGCATTGGGTCCCCTGGGAACCCTCGACATCCCTCTGGGACAGCCTGCCCCCCACGAGACCCCTTATATCCTGCTCTCATCGGGTCCCCCAGGAACCTCGACATCCTCTGGGATACTGCCCCCCACAGGACCCTCACCCGCTGGCATTGGGTCCCCTGGGAACCCTCGACATCCCTCTGGGACAGCCTGCCCCCCACGAGACCCCTTATATCCTGCTGTCATCGGGTCCCCCAGGAACCCTCGACATCCCTTTGGGACAGCCTTCCCCCCCACAGGACCCCCATCCCGCTGGTATTGGTCCCCCAAAAACCCTCAACAACTCTCTGGGAAAGCCTCCCGCCCACAGGACTCTCCATATCCTGTTGGGATAGACCTCCCACGGGACCTCTCCAGGACAGCCCCTCCATCTTGCCAGGGCACCATTGGGACCCCCCTTATTGCACAGAGTGGTCCCCCCAGGCTCCCATTCCCACATATCCCTCCAGACAGCCGCCTCCGAGCCACCCTATATCCCTCTAGGATAATCTCCCTTGTTAATAATAGCCCCTGCCCATGGGACCTTGGAACCCCCCATATCCTACTCGAGAAGGCTCTTTCGTATCCTGCTGGGACAGACCTCTGTCTTTCTGGAACAGTCCCCCCACGAGCACCTAGTATCCTGTGAAAAGAGTTCTCCCAAGATTCCCCTTCCCCCACCCCCATATTTCTCCAGAACAGCCATTCTGGGACCCTCCAATATGCCGCCTGGGCACACTTCTCCCTGCCCGGCCGCCCCTCCCGTGTTCTGTAGGGGGGAAATCCCTCCTGACTTGGGGGCCACCCTTCCCACCAGAACAGACCCCTGCTGGCCCTCACATTACCCCTAATATCCTACTGATAGAGATCCTCTCCTTTACCCCATCCAGCTGGAACAGGGGGTATCCTGTATACATAGCCCATTGGGACAGGGTACCTCTTCCTGTGCACCTATCCCTCATTCTGCTGGAACAGGACACCCCTGGACAGTCTTTCATCTTTGCAGGACAGATCACTCCCATAACTCTGAGATCTGCCTGGATCTCCCCCTCTTCCCCAAATTCCTTCTAGGACACACAAGGAGAGATGGTCCCCTCCCAGCGCCAGCCATAATACTCCCACTGGGATACCAGCCCGCTCCACACTTCCCTATATCTGCCCAGAGGACCGGACCCACTGGGATACCTACTCTCCCTATAGCCCCTTTTACCCTTTGGACCCACTAGAATATATGCTCCTCCCATATATATATGGCATCCCCCATCCAACTCTTCATATCACCCTTATATAACCCACAGCCTCATGGGCTTCTCCTTAAAATCCCATCAGACTTCGCATGTATTTATTAGATTACTTTTTGCCATGTTCTTTGTCTGCCCCCCACCCTCCTCCCAGTGGGCCATATTTCCATGGGTCTCCTCCCAGGACATCCCTCTCATCCCCATTTTTTCTTCTGGATTTATGTAGAAAGATATAAAGAAACAGATTCAATCATTCTGGTGCAATCTTTTCCTGCCCTTTCAGGGATGGGTAAAAGCAGCAGAAGTTTACAACTTTTGCTGTGTTGTTCTTCAGATGTGGATAGTAGTGGTGCATCCTCATCCTGTTCTGCTTCTGCTGTATGTTTCCAATGCTGTGTGAAAAAAGCATTGTGCTTTCAGTCATATTAAACATTTTTTAATGTAAGAAACCAAGTTTTGTGGCATAGTTGTACTATGTGGTTGGGTCCATTATTTCCAAAAAAACATTTTGGAAGGAAAATTTGTGATCATCTTACATAGTTTGTATGCTTTTGTTTGTCACTTCAGAAACACACATTTCTCAGAAATGATTTGACATTGTGTAGAAATGTTGTTACTTCTAGATTTTGTACTTTTTTTTTACGATTTTCATTAGTCAATATCTGTTTAGATGTTAAAACTACAAAGTGGATAACTTTAACTGATGCTTCAGTAAAAAAATTGCAATGGTTAGTACGCTTTTTGTGAGTGCTGCCTTGTGACTTTGTTTTGGTGAATGAATTAATTAAATTACATTATATTAACACATACTTTTACTGAGCACAGAACTAGAATTTTTTTAATGTTAAACCACGGGGCAAACTGGGTGCTGGTAGGTATGAGTGTTCAGTCAGTTGATGACACAGTCTGTTCCTGGCCACTCGCCATACCGAGTTGGCATTTCCAGATGCAGTGCCCCAATCTATTCTGTTGCCTTGGGAAACAGTGGCTTTGCTACAGCAAACAGTTTTCCTTTCTTTTCTACTGTATATAATTTCTTGTCTCCTTAACCCGTTTTACATTACCTAGTCCTTTTTCTCTGGTTTACTCTTTTGGGTAACAATATAACATCTTAACGTAAAATTCTGAAAGACATGTAGCTCTTTTGAACACTATTGTGTAGTTTCTTCCCAAAATTTTGTTAAAGCTAGTATTCAACTTGATTTCAGGTAGTAATAATAATAATGCATTGTGGGGATTTTCACATTCACTTGGCTTGTTATTAACCCAAACACTACAGTATTGGGATCTCAGAATAATGGGTGGATTTGGTATGCATTACATACAAATTGCATTGATAAATCCCACTGTGTGAGGCAAGGGAGTCATCAAAGCCATTGATAGAACTTTGTGTGAAACAGTTTTTGTTTAACTGCAGGTCTGCTTTGGAAAGGGACTGTGAAATGATGCCTTCAACAGATCTTCTCCCTGTCTGTTTTGTAGTAAACGTACTTGTTTAGTGTTCTTTATTTCTCAACATTACAGAGCCAGCGCAATTGTGGAAGAGACAGCTGGGTTCTGTTTGGCTCTCACATTCAACTGAATTGTAAGGCCTTGTACTCCTATCGTAGTCCTGCAGTATACTAGGGACAACATTTTCAAACTTGGGTGTTTAAGTTTAGCACGTGGATACAAAAGTTGTTTGTGGAATCCATGCAATATACAGTAAAAAGCAGCACACGGTCTGTTGCAGTGCATTGTTCTGTTTGCTGAGACTTTCAATGTCTCATCCTAGGAAATCATTCCAGGATGCAACCATTGGCTTTCTGAAATAGGAAATGCTCCAGAAGCTGTAACATTTCATATAAGGCCACTATCAGGTAGGTGTGTTGGAACTAAATATGGTGATCAAGAGGTATCAAGACATCAATCTCTGAATTCCTTGATGAAGTCAGAATTTGCCAACATCCAGTGCTTCTGTGATGAACTGTGAGAACCTGCTCATCAAGCACTAAATAGTTAAATTAGTAAAGAGATATGCCATGCAGAAGGTTCAATCTGAAGTAATTGCATTACATTTATGTAAAACTCTCTGTTGTCTTCAGTAGGACAGTTGCTTTTACAACTACAGGCTGGTTCAGCATAGGTCCACTAAAAATGCATTATTTCGATTTGCCTTTGCAGGCACAGGGAAGTACAATTTGTAATCCTTTTCACATGCAGTTGGACTGGAGGGTGAATCCATCATGGTGAAGGGCAGGAGACATTAGTGTGCTGCAGTGGTGTGTCCCATATTTTGTTCTGATTTCTCTATTTTATTTTCCTATGCTATTTTCTAAAAAAGTCTATAAAATAATGTAAACCACATGGCCAGGTTCTGACCATGGATTTTGAAAGGAGTTTCTCCTATCCCTCTGTAATCCCTTCTTCTGCCTTTTCCCTTCAGAAGAGGACAGCTGGAGTGGAAGCTATTGCCCTTCTCATTTATTTATTTTTTTCAGCTACAACAGAGTATCATGGAATGGGGGAGAGTCTCTCACAACCTCTGTTCAAATAAAATAAATTGGGTGGGTAGCAATGGCAAGTTTTAAACCACTGGACACTCAAGAACTACAAGCTGTGGAATGTGCAGTAGATAAAATAAGGTGGTTGCCAATGTATCTTTCATGAATTCTTAATTTTTCTAATAGATAAGGTCTTTATATCTGGCCACATGCCAGTTTGCTTATTACAATATGAAAATATATTTTTGATCACTTCAATAAAATTTGCCTTAGACTGTAGAGGAAGGGGGTTGGATGGGAAGCAGAACGGTCTATGGCCTTACATAGATTATCAAGACAAAGTGTGAAAACTGGATTTTGAAAGAGCTCCCACTTTCAATGATAAATGTTCCATATTGTGCATGTTAGTTGCTCTTCTACATGATTAGTCTTGTCTCAGATAAAAGTTTCATTCCAAATTCCAGACATGTTGTTTCTGTTGATATTCTGGTGTGGTAGAGAGGCTGTTAATCACAAAGCTTAGGCTGTCTAGTTAAGTCACAGGCATAGCTAGAGAAGTGATTGTTTCACCATTCTGCTACTATCAGGGTGAGGGAAAAGATCCACAATATCTTTTCATGCTACTGACTGTCTCCATTTTCTCCTCCAGTGGCAACCTGCTTCTTTAATTGAGGAGCAATAAACTTCAGACCATTGTTGTCTGTTCTGTTTGTAAACAGAGTTGACTTTTTGCATTGATTTAAAAACCTATTTATCTTAGTTAAAAATATCCTTAACTTTTTGCATGAATACTATTTTGGGGTTTGGTCTACATTGGCTGAGGCACACAATGGTGCGCAGGATGGATTGATTTCTTTTACCCTCAACTAATGTTCCCCATCACAGCCGTGGACGTTTCACGCCTCATGCAACAGATCCTGTACACTCAGCTGATCCACCCTGGAGAAACACGTAAAGTAAACAGATCAGCACAATGGAAGAACGGATAAGACCAAGTTTTCTGAAGCCGTATGCACTGAAAAATACCACATTATACTGACCAATGTCAAATAAGGTTCCCCCTACCTTCCCTTCAGCCAGAAGAGATGGTCCTTACACCATGCTCCAAAGATGATCTTTTATGATCTGTTAGACCAAATAGAGAGATTCTGGAGATAAGAGGTGTCCAATAAAAATTTTCCTACTTCTGCTATTATTTTAGTCTCCTGGACTGCCTTCTGCGTGGTAGGTACTATGCAAATATAAAAGAAGGGATATTTTTTGTTCTGAAGGGCTTGTCATCTAAAAAGATATAGACAATGGATTCAGCATAAAGTAAAGTAGCCCCGGCCTATCAGAAGGAGTAGTTTATGTTTTAGTCTTACAGGAATTGGCTGAGGTGCTCTCTGGAAAGCTAATGTTAATTTTTAATGAATTGTGAACAACTGGGGAGGAAGGAAGCCAATGTTATGTCAATATTTAAAAAGGACTTATGGGATGATCAGGGTAATTATAGGTTGGCCAGCCTAACACTGATCTCGTGCAAAAGAATGGGACAGCTGTTGTGGGACTTTGTTGTTAAAAGATGGAAACATAATACCAGCCAGCTTGGTTTCATGGAAAATAGAAATTAACTCCGTATTTGTTTCCTCTTTATATACATCTCTATTATAATATTTCCCCTGAGAATATCAGAATAACACTTAAAAGTGTGCTAAGATCTTCAAAGACATAAAATAAGGCAGCACAGCTCAGAGGACCTCACAAAAATAACCAAATGTAAATGAAGGATTGGAGAAAAAGATGTATCACTTATTTTTGTATCCTTTTACCCCGGTTCTAATCCTGCCTAGCTCTCATCTTTTACTTTTTCCCCCATATTATCATTTCAATAATTATTTGTATTGTAGTAGTCTGTAGAGGCCACACTCAGCATTAGGGCACCACTGTGCTAAACAATTTTTATAAATGTATACATTTCTCTACCCTCTCCCCGCAACTTTAGTCTGCGTGCTCAGTGTTCTATCCATTCCTAAATTTAATTCTTTATTTTACAGTTGGTGTCAGCTTCTGTCCATTTCAACTGACTTACCCAACCTCCTGTTCTCCCCTGTTATTTTTCCATACAATCCCTAACTATACTCTGGTTCCTCCTCATGGCTCTGCGAACCATCATCCCTCTAAAAAGTTCAAAGAGGAGTGGCTTTGTTAACGTTTCTGGAGCATTGGTGTTGTGAACAATTGCGCTTGCCACTATCTAAACTGCGAGGTGCCCCTGGCATCTCAGCCACACCCTTGAGAGTTACTGTCCAGATGGTGTATGGAAGGTAAGGTAGAAGGGCAAGAATGGGCTAAAATATTACATACCTTACTGTAACATAACAATCTATATGTACTGTAACATGGCAAAATTGCAATCTGACAAATTTTTGTCTAGCACTGACAGGTTTCAGTGTGGTAGCCGTGTTAGTCTGTATCAGCAAAACCAACGAGGAGTACTTGTAGCACCTTAGAGACTAACAAATTTATTTGGGCATAAGCTTTCGTGGGCTAAAACCCACTTCATCAGATGCATGGAGTGGAAAAAAACAGTGGGCAGGTATATATACATAGTACATGAAAAGATGGGGGTCAGTGCTAACGAGACAATTCAGTTAAAGTGGAAGCAGGCTAATGTCAACAGTAGAATATTGAGGGAGGAAAAATCACTTTTGAAGTGGTAATGAGGCCAATGTAAACAGAGTGACCCATTTCAAAAATTGACAAGAAAGTGTGAGTAACAGTAGGGGAAAATTAGTATAGGGAGATTAGTTTTTATAGTGACTCATCCGCTCCCAGCCTTTATTCAGGCCTAATTTGATGGTGTCCAGTTTGCAAATTAATTCCAGTTCTGCAGTTTCTTGTTGGAGTCTGTTTTTGAATTTTTTTTGTTGAAGAATTGCCACTTTTAAGTCTGTTATTGAGTGTCCAGGGAGATTGAAGTGTTCTCCAACTGGTTTTTGAATATTATAATTCTTGATGTCTGATTTGTGTCCATTTATTCTTTTGTGTAGAGTCTGTCCGGTTTGGCCAATGTACATGGCAGAGGGGCATTGCTGGCACATGATGGCATACATCACATTGGTAGATGTGCAGGTGAACGAGCCTCTTATGGTGTGGCTGATGTGATTAGGTCCTATGATGGTGTCCCTTGAATAGATATGTGGACAGAGTTCGCAACGGGGTTTGTTGCAGGGATAGGTTCCTGGGTTAGTGTTTTTGTTGTGTGGTGTGTAGTTGCTGGTGAGTATTTGCTTCAGGTTGGGTGGCTGTCTGTAAGCGAGGACTGGCCTGTGTCCTCACTCTCACAGACCTTAGGGATCGTCCTTCAGGATAGGTTGTAGGGTATGCCCAAATACATTTCTTAGTCTCTAAAGTGGCACAAGTACTCCTCGTTATTTTTGTCTAGCAGTGTGTGTTTGGGAAGACTGAGATTTTCAGACTAAATGTGTACTTAAGGTTAGTAAAAGGTACTCTATACAAATAGTATCTTGTTACTGCACTGCATATTTTTTAAATGTTTCATAGACTTTTAGCCAATAGCTGTTCTTGATAATAGTGGGGAGTCAGGTTGCTGAAACTCAGTGTGTTCATTAGAAATGTACCCCTAGGTTTTGTCATGTCATGCTTGTCCCTTTTCATGAAATAAATTGGCAACTTTTGATTTGGTATAGAAATTCTGGATAAAGGACAAATGTGTTTCACTAAAATGTCATGTTTAGTGTCACTTCTGAGATGATCTTATTTGGAGGGTGCCTGTAAAAAGGCAATCATGAAGAAATCTCTAACTCTTGAGAAATAAAACTGCTTATTGACTGTAGTTGTTTCACAGTTTTTCTCATCTAAAAAGCTATCAGTAAAAACACTAACTTTTCTAAGATACAGGAGACTGAGTTTTTCTTTGTCCTCAGGGATAGGAAAATAACATTGACTTTAAACTATGGTATTGAGTGTCTCGTTATCATTTTAGAATTCTGGCAAACCATGCATTGACTATAGCCCAGGGTTGTTGAAGTCCTTGGTTTTGTTTTTGTTTTTTGTAATCTTTCTGTTGTAGTTGCTGCAGTGATAAAAGCCAGAATTTGTGCATTTACAAAATCTGCGTGTTAATTTGTAATATTGGAATCACTTATTTGAAAACTAGCAAACACAAAGCTTAGTACTGTAAAAATTGTACCATATTATAAGTATATTCTGTTAATTGTTCAAAAGAGTTGCATCTCCCTTGTGCCATTTCTTGGAACAGTTGCCGTTTTCACTTTTCCCTTTCTCCCTTGGCCTTGTCCTAACTAGTTTTAAAATGGAATTTGATTAATTTATAAATGGGATTCTATGACTGGGTTGTCTGCAGTAGCAGC